TTCACCATCACGTACCATGATCGGTCTGCACCTCCTAACCACTAACCCCCCCCCATCTATCCAGACACAAGACTGCTGAGGGCTTCATATGTTCAGACATCAGATCTGTCCCAGCTGATTGCGCTGTCTGTGTTCTATGACATGCTTCTATCTGCCGTGATTGGGTTTCAATCTGATCTCTCTGAAGGGTTTTATTACAGCAGGAAGTGTTCATCAGCCGCGTCTCTTCATCTCCGAGGATAACTGCTGTTCTCTAGTATCATGGGGCGCTCACGCAGCCTGAGTATTGCCGAACGTAGAACCGGCATCATCAGAAAAATAAGAGACCCCCATAAACACGAGAAGTTCCGAGGAGACGACATCCCACGTTACCATGACATCAATTATATCCAATAATATAAAGTCATTATAAAATATCACCCGGGGGGAAAGATGATCAATATTTCTAATCAATGAAGCGGCGCAAAGTTATGGCGTTAGTGACCGATCACTATGAGCTGTGGCGGCTGACATACCGATCACTGTGAGCTGTGCCGGCTGACATACCGATCACTGTGAGCTGTGCCGGCTGACATACCGATCACTATGAGCTGCGCCGGCTGACATACAGATCACTGTGAGCTGTGCCAGCTGACATACCGATCACTGTGAGCTGTGCCGGCTGACATTGATTTTCATTTTTTTTCTCTGTATCCTAATTTGGAGCCTGCACATCCCTGTATCCCAGTACAGAGCCTGCACATCATAGACCCCGCCTCCTTGTTTCCTAGTACAGAGCCTGCACATCATAGACCCCGCCTCCCTGTATCCTAATACAGAGCCTGCACATCATAGACCCCGCCTCCCTGTATCCCAGTACATAGCCTGCACATCATAGACCCCGCCTCCTTGTTTCCTAGTACAGAGCCTGCACATCATAGACCCCGCCTCGTATCCCAATACAGAGCCTGCACATCATAGACCCCGCCTCCCTGTATCCCAGTACAGACCCTGCAGATCATAGACCCCTCCTCCCTGTAAAGAGCCTGCACATCATAGACCCCGCCTTTCTGTATCCCAGTACAGATCCTGCACATCATAGACCCCGCCTCCCTGTATCCCAGAACAGATCCTGCACATCATAGACCCCGCCTCTCTGTATCCCACTACAGAGCCTGCACATCATAGACCCCACCTCCTTGTATTCCAGTACAGAGCCTGCACATCATAGACCCCGCCTCCCCTTATCTCAGTACAGATCCTGCACATCACAGGCCCCGCCTCTCTGTATCCCATTACAGATCCTGCACATCATAGACCTGGCCTCCCTGTATGCCAAGTGCACAGACAGGCTGAGGAAAATTAAGCTGCTGTTTGGTTGCCAAGTCTCAGGGCATTGCTGTTTCTTCATCTTTCATCCTGCATTTCTGATGCTGCCAGTACTGGCTCATATTCATACCTGTGCAATTCTTACTCTGCTTGTTAAAAGCCCCAAAATACTAGATAATTGCAATTATCCTTTAATTTTCATGGATTATACAGTGAGTGCTGACAAGCTGATCATTTAGTCTAGTTTAGCAGTTTGCGTGCAGACTGTAGTGGCATACTGCCCTCCAGTGGCAGAGGGACGGAATCGCACAGCATTCAGATCTAGGGATGGTAAAGCTGCTCAGGGGGCGCAATATGTGGGCGGCATTGTGCATTTTACTGCATTTTTCTATCACAGCACAATGCATTGGGCCCAATAAACTATTACTGATGCAGAGCGAGACATTGCAACAGGAAAATTGTGTGCAAACTTTGTCACCAAAAACGTAGCAAATTGTGCCATTATTATATCGCAGTGACCATAGTTTATAAGGACTCTTGCGCCACCTACCACCTGGTGCGCTAGTGCGCTTATTTTATGCCCCCAAAATACATGCAGTCCATTCAGTTATATGGTGCACAAATTGCAACAGTCACAAGACTTGTCACAAAGAGGGATTTTCCAATTTCTGACGCATTCCACAGGAACATGCACTGCGAATCATTGTTTAGTTATCGCACTAAAAAACTTGTCACAGTATGCGTTATTTTAATATTGCGCCGCTGATAGTTGGGCCGATAGTGTTGTAGCAGGTACATATGCACCTACGTATGAACTGTAGCCTCTGTGTGGTGGCTCCTTCTTATAGAGCAATGAACCAGAACAAAAGATACAGTGATACTCAGAAACAGTGTTGCAGTAAAAGTTTGTTCCTGCTGTATGACGGAGAAGTTGAATGCAGACACACAGAGCGAACGTCTAAGTTTCAGATGCACTGCACATTATGGCCACTAGATGGAGCTTTGAGGCATTCCTGTGCTCCTCGGCTCCATCTAGTGGCCATAGTGTGCTGTGCATCTAAAGGATAGACATTCGCAGAGCCGTTCGCTCTGCAAATATTTTATAAATATGCCCCATAGCGTGTAAGGATGTCAGGGTTCATCTGTGTATTAGGGTGTCAGGGTTCATCTGTGCATTAGGTTGTAGGGTGTCAGGGTTCATCTGTGTATTAGGTTGTAGGGTGTCAGGGTTCATCTGTGTATTGGGGTGTCAGGGTTCATCTGTGTATTGGGGTGTCAGGGTTCATCTGTGTATTGGGGTGTCAGGGTTCATCTGTGCATTAGGTTGTAGGGTGTCAGGGTTCATCTGTGTATTAGGGTGTCAGGGTACATCTGTGCATTAGGTTGTAGGGTGTCAGGGTTCATCTGTGTATTAGGTTGTAGGGTGTCAGAGTTCATCTGTGTATTGGGGTGTCAGGGTTCATCTGTGTATTGGGGTGTCAGGGTTCATCTGTGTATTAAGTTGTAGGGTGTCAGGGTTCATCTGTGTATTAGGGTGTCAGGGTTCATCTGTGTATTAAGTTGTAGGGTGTCAGGGTTCATCTGTGTATTAGGGTGTCAGTGTTCATCTGTGTATTAAGTTGTAGGGTGTCAGGGTTCATCTGTGTATTAGGGTGTAGGGTGTCAGGGTTCATCTGTGTATTGGGTGGTAGAGAATAAGGTGAAAGCAGAGATTTGTTATATTCAGCGATCTTAGAATTCAAGCGAGCTTTGTTGTTATGGAATAAGAATAGCCCTTCAACTTCTTCTCACCCGTGTCCGTTGTCTTCCACAGGCGCACTCCAGATTGAGAACAGCGAGGAGTCCGACCAGGGGAAGTACGAATGTGTGGCCACCAACAGCGCCGGGACGCGCTACTCTGCCCCGGCAAACCTCTACGTGCGTGGTAAGAACTCCTCCCCATCGGTTCTGGTGAATCACCTTCATGGGCCACCCCACTTCCCCCTTCCTTCCTCCCCTCAACGACCATCTTTACCAGACCACAGCGCGCCTGGAGACGGGACGGCTTCCATCAGGCGCTGAACAGTGTGCTTCCTGCTGAGTGTCATTGCGGTGTGAGTGCGAGGCTGCGTCGTCGTCGCTGCCAGTGCGTGGATAAAGCTTTCGTGGAGTGTTACGCGCTCAGTGCAGCAGCTGCGCGCCGGTCTCTGGTGTATGGGATGCCATATGCTTTGTCTTCTGTCGTGATGGTTTGTGTTTAATGAGAATTAATGTGATTTCTGAATCGACTGAAAGAATTCCCACATTTATTTCCCTGATTATCCGGAGAGCCGAGACGCTGCTCATTTCCCTATTTTACCGTGTGATTCGGGGTTGGCGCGGTCAGAGAGCTGCACACTGGCAAACACACAGGGGGCGACGCAGGCGGAAAAAGGGACGTGTTTGTAGAAAAAGCTGCCCTCCTCTAATGGCCAGAAAATCCTCCCGTGTGCCTTTCTGGAACTAGTTTCACCTTTCCAGGACTTCATTAACCTTGAGTTGGTGGAACGCTTGGCCCTCTGATAGGTAAAGATTAGGTTGGTGTACAATACTTAAAGGCACCTCTCTATCAACCAGGGCTTCCCCAAGGGTCCCTGGACTAGTCAGAAATGATATATAGAAGGATGAGAGTGCTGCAGGCTGTACTAAAGAAGTTTAACTTCACAACAGGACAGAGGATATAGACAATGCATTTTGGGGGCTGGCAACGCCCCCTTCATCAGGGCTTGAGTGCTGGCTGGTATTGGAGTATACTGTACTGGGCAGCAATAGACAGCCATCTGACTGGCATGTTGCGATCATTTCTGTCCAGTATACTCCAGTCATTGCCAGCACTTAAACCCTGATGAAGGGGAGGATGTGAGCCCCCGAAACGCATTGGTTATGATAAATAACATCATCTTGACTTAGTAAGTCCTGTGGTGCTCTCATCTTTTTTACTCATTAGTTTTAAGTCTCCATCCCGTCCAATCAGAGTGCCCTTATAGGCCACAGAGGGGCTCTCCCTGAACAGGCAGATGGCAGGGCTTAGACCCCCTTTTAAAGTAAAACTGGTTTCTCTATTGTAGAGCAACTTTCTCTCACCGGGACAAAAATCTATAGTTTAAACCAGGAGAGTCCCCTTAGGAAGGATATAGCGTGCACAAGCACTTAGCCTCTGACAGTGTGATATTTCAGGAGAGCAGTGATAAGGCCGCTAGTTTATCATTCATTGCAAGTGAGGGCAAGGCGTGTGTGGGAAGCAGAGGTCCACCATGGGGTACCCTCAGCCACAGACATTGTCTAGGGATTAAATGTAAATGATCTCCCCTATTTGTTCTACAGCTTAATATGAAGCCGATCCCCTTCCTATATCCAATGTCACCAGATAATGGCAGAAGACTTTTCCAAAGCAGAGATCCACATTTTGTATAGTCTGTTTTTATTTATCGGTGCAGCCCGCTCTGCTGGGGGGTCATTATCCCGAGAACTCAGCGTACATAATGTGAGCTGATACAAAATCTACAATTAATTCTTCCCGCTGACACTCTGATTCCAGCTTGTGACTCACTAAGGTTCTCTTTTCTCTCTTACAAACAAGAGATCATTTGACGGCTTTCACAGGAAAGAGTCTGACGCTTCATATGGGTAAAATGTGTCTAAGGTCGCCTCCTGTTGCTCAGGGCAGGTATTACAGGACATTCCGCTGCGTGCTCGCAGTGTACAGCTCTCTGGCCATAGCCAAACCTAAGAGATCAGACCGCACAAACCCACACCTGTCTCTCTCTCTCTCTCTCTCTCTCTCTCTCTCTCTGCTCCTATCTCATTGTATCTTTCTCTCCCTTCTTCTCGCTCTGTCTCTTACTGTATCTCTCGGTCAAAGTATCCCTTTCTTCGTCTCGCTCTTTCTCTCTCTCTCTCTCTCTCTCTCTCTCTCCAGCTGTATTACTTTGTATCACTCTCTTAAAGTATCTCTATCTCTGTCTTTTGTTTCTCTGCATACCTCTTCCTGTATCTCTATCCCCTTATATGTTTCCTTTTCTCCTCTTCTCTCTCTTTAGTTCTCTATATCTCTCCATGACAATCTCTTCTTATCTATCTCTCTCCCCTCTTCTCTCACTCTTCAGTTCTTTCTCTCTCCAAATCTCTCTAGCAAAATATCTCTCTCTGTATCTCTCCTAAAGTATCTCTATCTCTTTCTTTGTTTCTCTGTATACCTCTTCCTATAACTCTGTCTCTTTATATGTTTCTTTTTCTTTGCTTCTCTTCAGTTTACTCTCTTTGTATCTCACTCTTCAGTTCTCTCCCTCTCTCCCCCTCTCTTTCTCTCTCTGTATCTCTCTCTCTTAAAGCATCTCTATCTCTGTCATTGTTTCTCTGTATACCTCTTTCTGTATTTCTTCCATCTCTTTATACTTTTGATTGTCTCCGCTTCCCTCTCCCTCTTTCTTTAGTTCTGTATCTTTATCTCTCTAATAAAGTATCTCTCCCTCCATGTCAATTCCTTCACATCTTTCTCTTCGGCTCTGTCTCTCTGCATCTCTCTCTCCCTCCCCATATTTGTCTGTCTCTTCCTCCATCTTTTCTACTCGCTCTTTCTTTTGCTCTGTCCTTCTCATACCTTCTTCTCAAAGTATCTCTCTCTCTCCTTCCCTCCTTCATGGGATTATATGATGTGTTACACCCTTGTATGAATGATCACGCCGCTATGAGTGTCAGTTCTTCTGGCTGTCAGTATGGATGTCTCCTGTATGCCATGTCTATCTTGTATGTCTAGTGTGTCTTGTCTGCCATGTCAGTCATGTACTGTATGTCATGTCTATGTCATGCTTGTCATGTGTGTTTTCTGTGTGTGTCGGCAGATGGAATCACCCATCAGCTACTTATACAGTTTCTGTTGGGAACTCCCGGTGAGACCTTTGCTCCCGAGTTCCCAGCTCCACCCACTTGCGGCTGTGACCCCCACCTCATGGCTGTGTAGTGGCTGCAGGTTCAGAAACTCCCCATTGACGTCCTCTGGAATTATAAGGAGCTAGGGGGTGTGATTCAACTTACTGAACCATTTAGTTTGGTCGGACTCGGATACGAATTGGCGGTGTGGCGGAAGAGCCGGCATCCTCGCAGCTTGCACTATGTTGGCCATGATGCTTGGCGTGTGACACGTGTGTTGTTGCTTGTACACATGCAGTTTGCTGTTTTTACTCTCTCTATGTTTCTCCTTGTCTCTCTACTTCCTCGTCATCCTCATCGCACCGCCATACAATCAATCCTCCATCTCTCAGCTCAGCGAGAAGGTTGGTCCCTTTCACTTCTTATCCAGATAGAGATTGGCACGTCTGGTAACTCCCTCCCCACCCCACCCTTGGAGAACAGCAGAGGCGGGCTCAGGACAGAGCTCCTCCCCTGCAGAACCTGCTTATCACCTGCCTGCCATAATTCCCGCAAGTCTCCCTCCTAAGTGCACGCTGGACAGTGCATGGTGCCCTTCTACCTCCACATCACCTCCTCTCTTCTCCACGCGCCCCGAGCCTGTTCCCTTTACACGTTGTGACTCTTCTACAATTCTACAATCCCCTTTTTCTTGCAGGTTTTTTTCCCTACCATCCCCATTGAATACATCACTCATCAGTCATAGTTTTTTGGCCTCCGTCATTAAAATACAGTTACAATACAGTGCTTTGAATTCATCTTGCATGTATCATCACACTTCAGCATAAAACTCATAGGCTCTGATCCATCAGGCTGTAATAAGGCATGCTAAAGTGGCCTCATTGTTACCTTCCATTTAAGTATGCCGTAAGCACTATTTGTACACCTTCATTGCAGCTTGATGCATCTGGCCTGTTTGAAGTTGAACTCCGGCCTTCCCTTCAGTCTTGCACAGTTGTAGCGGCTCCTCTCCTGGTCTGAAATGCCTTCCTCTGATGTCACTGCACACTGGGAGCTCCTCACAATGATTAGAAGTCAGATAGAGCCCGCCTCATTTCCTGGCTGGAGAAGGTCCAGCAGCATCTAACCATTTCCAGGCCAACTTTTAATCATGGAGGTTCAGCATCACATGTGGGTGGTCTGTGTGCAAATACAGCCTGCCTGGGAACGCCCACTCCTCCAGACTGACACCCACCCATCAAGGCATTTTGATATTTGCATAACTCCTCCCAAGAGCCCGCCCACTGCTTGTATCAGGACTGAGGGCTCTTCAGAGGAGTGCCAAGGCAGGGTGCGGTGATGTATTCAGGAATCTATGTACAGCACCCTGCCGGCCCCATCCACCAGCCATGATCTGCCTGCATTACAAAGAGAAGCTCAGAGACTCAGTGATGACATCACTGCTGGGAGTAAAATAAAATATGTAATGACAATGGAAAGGTTTTATTAAAAAATGTCACAAACATATTCTTGAGGGGGGGGGGGGGGGGGTGGTGCGGTGCTGTAGTATATCT